GGGGTACTGGATGGAGGGGTGACAAAGGAGGAAATAGTGGGACAACTGTAATAACATAACCAATAAAGTATATATTTTTAAAAATCTCTTTTCCTGCAGTCAAGGTCAGCAGTTCACTGGCTCTTAGTCCAGCAGTCCAACATCTCCACCAGAGCATCAGGTTCTCCCGCCACATCAGTCATTACATTTTATCTGTAGACCATCCTCCCTACTCCTGGTGAAGGCTAAAACCCTAAAAAGATGTGGATGGTTGTATTGAGGGCAAGGGCATATTTTTGCTTGTTTGAAACTGCAGGCCCTGGTAGAAGAGGAATCCAAGCAGGAAATGAGGCAACCAGGCCAACCCCTGGGATGAAGAGGGAAGAAGCAAACTGGTGAAACAGACAGAGAGCCCGGCAGAGAAGTGGGCACGGGGGGAGCTGATGTCCTCTGTGGCTGGCCTTTCTCTGTGATACGACCAGGCCAGGCTCTCTGACCTGCCAAGGTGGCAGCCCTGGTTTGGCAGAGCCCTCATGGGTATGGTAGAAAGGAGGAAGGAAGAGAAGAGGTAAGTGATACAACCTGTAATCTGTGCACCAGCCACAGGTACTTCCTGCCTGGGGATACAGAAATCCCTCTATCAGCCTTCAACTGGCTGGCTTAACTCACCTAACAACTATTTATGATGCATCTACAGTAGGTCAAGATTATACCTTTCATGACCATAAAGAGATGTTCTCTCAAAGAATCTGTATTTTATTTGTGATCTGGAGTAGCTGCTCTTTTTCTTCCCCCAGCCCAAAGGAAAATGTGGATGATGCACCTCTAGTTTCCCTGCCACTGTAATTTCCCAGAAGGTCCAGCTGTACTGCCCTCTTTCCCAGCCTCTAATCCATTTCCTTCTTCATGTTCGTGCCTCCAGTCCTATTGACTCCTTCACTCCTTCCTCTCCACATCCACCTCCAAGGAAAACACCTTCACCCCAGCCCAGGCTTCCCCAAGTCTGCCGTGCCTGACTCTATTTCCACCCAGCCACATGTCACAGGGCGGCCTTGCCTGCGGAGGCGTCCTTTTTCCAGTTTCTCAGCAGCCTGCACTGCCCACATCACTTCAAGGTGTCTCCCTTTCACACCGTAGAGCTTCCCCACTTGCCCCAGCCCTGAGTTCAATCTCTCTGCCTGCCTTTGCCTCCTCTCCCCCTCCCACCAACCCTGTTCTCTATTTGACAGGGAACATGGGTCCATCTGCCCTGCCGCTTGTCCTCCACCGCCGTCCCCCTGCAAGGCACACCGGCCTCACTGCCTCCAGCACAGGCTGCCAGCTGACAAAACTCACCTTCCCTTTCTTCCTGGGCAACAGCGAGATTAGATCACCAGTTCTCCTTGCAGTTAGGACTAGTGACATGACTGGGTTTTAAACAGGAAAATGTGGGTGGAAATAACATGAGCTGCCCTAAGGCCTTGCCATTAAAGCCCCCACACACATTCTTCTGGCACATTCCTCTTTACAGATGGCTGGGTTGCAAAACTTGGGAGTCTCAGAACAGAGGTGAATTTCCACTCTAAAAAAATGATGGATGGACAGCCCCGGCCAGGTGGGTCAGTCGGCTGGAGCATTATCCAATGCACCAAAAGGCTGTGGGTTTGATCCCCAGTCATGGTGAGTATGGAAGCAACCAACAGATGTTTCTCTCACATCAATGTTTTTCTCTCTCCCTCTTCCTCTCTCTCTAAAAAACTAAAACATTTTTTAAAAAAGAGTTTTTTAAAAATCAATAAACATATCCTTGGATGAGGATTAAAAAAATGAAGGACAAAATAGATAAAAAGTTGCCTCAGTTTGCTGTGTATTTTATGTTGTGCAGTACATGCAGTGTAAGTGTTCAAGCTGGTTGAGCCATGGCCGGCTAAAACAGCCCAGGGAGCCACAAAGGACAAGGGACAGGGGCTGAGGTGTGCAGTGCAGACAGGTGAGGACAGGCAGCCCCCTACACATCTTCATTTCCAAGTAGGAGAGAGAGTCTAGAAACTCTGGTCTTAAAGCCCGAGGGTAAATCTGAAGCCACTGGACAAACTACGATAGAAAACAGAGACAAGAGAGCCAGGACCATAGGGCCATGCGGCAGAACTGGGAAGAGAGAACCAGCATGCAGTGCTGTGCTGGAGTATGTGAGGACACCAACTGACTCAAATTCGACACCTGTGGGAGAACACAGCGAGGGGAGGATGGACTGGGTAGAGGAGGTGGAATTAGGTTACAAGGGGTGTTAAATGTAAGGCGCCCCACCTCCACCTCGAGTGAAATAAGGAAGTCATTGTGGGATCTAGAACAGAGCAGTCCAGATGGAATGCGTGCTGGGATTAATCCGAGCAGATCTGAATCCACAAGAACACACTGGTGACAGATCTGGCCCTCTATCATCCACTTGGTATGAGCCCTCAACACACACACATGGCTCTTGGCAGACCGACACCTTGCCTCTTCAATGATATCCTGGGGTGTACGGTTAAGAAAGCACACTCGTTCTCTCTTGCCAAGGGGCAGGGGTTCATCAAAGCCATTCCTGAACTCTCCAGACTCTGCTTCCCGAAACACATTCGGGTCCCCAGGAAAGTTAACTCCCAACGGAGATGGGAAGCTGCATTCCAGCAGAGGCCTCATGGAGACGTTCCAAAGCCAAGAATGAGGCTCCATCTAAGCATTGAGGGAGCCCAATGGGCTAGAGAGGGACCCCGGAGTGGGCCTGGGACAATGATAAGCTCCTCAGAATAATGTCATTTGCTGTCAACATCAGGATGACAGACTCATGGAAATACTAACAGAGGAGAGGAAGAAACCTAAAGTAGACAACTGATCTTGGTGTCCAGATCCCACTGTCCACATTTCACTAGAAAATATCCGTTGATGACAGCAGTTTGCTGGGTAACTCTCAGCCAGCCAGCCGAGGGGCCTGGCTGACTGGCAGTCCCATCCACAAGCCCGCTCATGTACTGATCTCATTTTATACTCCCAATAATGCTGGAGGGCGGGAGGTGTCTTATTCATTTTACATATCAAGACACTGAGAATAAGCCATGGCAAAACTGATATTTCACCTTTGGGTTTCTAACTCTATGTCTTTTTTAGTGGGCCACTTTCATCAAAGATGAATTCCTGCCCGATTCTTAGCTGATCTGGCGATGCTGAGACAAGTAAGACGTGATTTAGTTTCTGAAAGTAACAGGCATGAGAACAAATGAACAGAATAAGAATCTCTAACCGCTATTGAAGGAGTAGAGTTCGGGAGACAAAGAAGTGGTCAGGGCCTGCACATGCAGACTCACAATAAACAGACATTTAATGAACTCCTTCAGTCAATGTTTACTGAGCAAATACTGTGTGTCAGGTGCCATCCTGGGTGCTGGAGATATAGCAATGAGGAATACAGATGTAACTCCTGCCCTAACATTCTGATGGAAAGAGCTTGTATTCTCATGTCAAATAGATGGACAGATAAATGGATGGATGAAGGGATGGATGCATGTGTTGGGGAAAAACCATGAATGTCTTCGTAGAGCAAATGAGGCTTGGCCTGATTCCTTGAAAACTGGAAGACAAGGTGCTGGTCAGGGGAAGGCGTGGAATGCCCGCAGGCCCTCCAGAAGGAGGAGGAGCACAGGGAAAACCACGAGCACGTTCATCAGTCAGGGCTGTCTGGGGATCTTCAGGTAGTTCCCTCTGGCTCAAGTGTTGGTGGTGGGCAAGGGACAATGGTGAGGACATAGGCAGTGGCCATGGAACTTGGATTTGTTCCGCAGGTCATAGGGAAGTAGCACAAGGTTCTAAAGAGCATTCATAACAAAGACACTAATTAAACACAAGCAATGAACGGTTTAGATACTGCGAAGATTCCTTTCTCAAAGTGCTTGTGCCTTAATCTTACTCTCTGCTAGAAAAAATTCTAGGACAGTCGCACGTGAAGAGGCAGTGTAGCCTACTGGAAAGCACTCCGGCTCAGAAACCCAAGAAGCCAGACTCAAATCCCAGCTTCAGAACATCATGTGGACTTGAAAAAGATGCTTTACCTCTCTGAGCCTCAACTTTTCATCAATAAAATGAGTGCACTACCACCCATGTGACAGAGATGTTGTGATAATCAGAGATATTGTATACAAAGTATATGGCATCTGGTAGGGGTCCCCAGGTGATCGTTTGCAGCCACTGCAGGCTAAAGAACTCCCCAGACCTCTGTGGGTGCATCACAGTAAAAAAGCCTGGCCTCCCAGGAGCCAGCTCTCGCTCTTCCTGACAGGCACGGAATTCAGGTCCCACTGAATTGCAGAGGCTGAGCGAGCCTAAAACGCCAAGCTTTGGGTTCTTTAAAAAAATAACCTTAATTGTGCACAAGTGCAAGAAGGGTTTATGCCCCATGGTTCTAGCGACAGTTTAGAAAACTGACCCAGAAATTTCCTTTAAGACAGGAAGTTTAGAAATCGATCCTTTCCCAATTAGCCCACCAACCTTGACAACTGTATTGCTTTAGGACAGCAATCTGCTCATCACCACCCCAAACTTACACTCCTTCCTGAAGGGCTTGAAGGAAAGCAGCTATTATTTTTAATGAAATCCTTCCATAAAGGCCAGTTCATGATATCCAATTCATTACGATGACCAGCACCCAAGACATTTGCCCACCCAGGCTTGTTTTGAATCGTTATGCAATAAGCTCACTTCACAAGCCCAGGTCTCTAACTAAATAGCAGAGAATTATACAATAGTCCTAAGAGGTTCCCCGACAAAAGGAAAGAAAGGGCTCGTTTCCCCAAAACAGAATTAAAACTAGAGACCCAATTTAACTTACCATCTTATAAAAATGCAGCTTTTCTTTTGTCATCCCATGGGAAAAAGGGGAAAAGGCAGTTTGCAGAATTTGCACATACTTTTTCTGTACAAACAACTCATGTGCTATGGAACAGCCCAGCCCCTCCCCACCCCCACAGCATTCCTTCTTTCTCCCGCCCCCTCCCCCACTGCCCACATACCTCTTTCGAGCACCAGGCACATTTTGGATGGATTAGCAGACATTCTTCACAAGAGGTGGCACTTCCACTAGTGCATCTGTTGAGACCTTTAAAGCAAGATAAAGATGCACCAATCAGTTCCTGGCTATAATCCCTATTGATGTTTTCATCGATAGGGATTATAGCCAGGAACTGACTGGTGCATGAGAGGGGAGGGGAAGTCACTTCCTTTTTAGTAGGGGGCCTGGCAGGAAGGCTGAGGGATGCAGGCCCTGGTGCTAATTGCAGGTTAAGGCTCAAGGGCTGAAGTAAACACTGCCATTTCTGAAGCACCCAAGGGGCATGCACACTTTATCAGCAACCCCCATTTCTTAGCTGGACCCACTTGGATTTCCAGACCCTTCCCTGTAACAACAGACTCCCCCTGAGGGAGAAAAGGCCCTCTGTATTTAGTTCAGCCAAAATGACAAAAGGGGGCGGAAAAAAAAAAAAGGAAAGACAAAAGAACTGATCAGTCCCCTTCAAGCAAAAGGAAAGAAAATCCTAAATCAAGTAGTATCATGTCAAATCTGTAGTGTACCAAAAGAAGCTAGCACAGCCCTTAAAGAAGAATGTAGCCCAGGAATACAATGATGGGTTAAAATAAAGGAAATCCAAGCCCTGGCCAGGTATCTCAGCTTGTTAGAGCATTGTCCCTAAACGGCTAGATTGTGGGTTCAATCCCTGGGCAGGGCACACACAAAAATCAACCAGTGAATGTATAAATAAGCGGAATAACAAACCAATGTTTTGCTCTCCCTTCTTCTCTAAAAATTTCAAAAAAAAAAAAAGTGTAAAAGAAAAAAATAAAGGAAATCCATTAATTTGATATATCTGCTAGTAGGTCATATAAGACAAACCACGTCATCACCTCAGTAGGTAATAAAAAGGCATTTGATCAAATTGAAAGTCCATCCCTATGCTTAAAAAAAACCAGAAAGCAAGATTAAAAGGAAATTGCTTTAGTGTTGTAAATTACTTATTTCAATCCCAGGCCAGCTCCCCCTGCCGTTAATCCAGAGGAGGGGCTCCTGAGGCAGACTCAGCTGCGGGGCTGAAGTTAAACCCACTGTCCCCCGCCTCCCTCCACTGCATCTCACTGCCCCGCTCTCCTTCTCACCCCCACCCCCCACTCCCCCAGCCAGCAGCACAGGGATCCTTGAAGAAATCTATCATCCCTGTCTTTTCCTTCCTCTCCAAAACATCAGGACAGATTTCTTTCAACCAAGAACAGAACTTGATGGTTTTTCTCTGAATGGAAATGACAGTTTGGCCCTCAGAGCACTAACAGAAGCCTGGCCTCTCCTGGTCACTGCTTAGAGCCACAATGGATGGAATAAGGAAAACCTAGGACCACCAGCCATAGGAAGAAGGGCTCAGACAGTAAGGGGGCATGTGGAAGAGTCAAAAAGATGAAAAAGAGAGAGTGGAAGAAAATACAGGCAGGTGGAGACAGTTCCCTAGCTCCACTAAACACCATAACAACATTTGTTGTAGGCCATCTTGAAACTCTAGCATTTCCCAAATTTGCTCATTTTAATTCTGTCTCCTTTGTCACTAGAAGTAAAAACCCACAGAAACTGGGTGACACAGGAAGCTACACTGTGTCTCCCCGAGAGGCATTAGAGGGATAAGAATGGTAGCTGGAATCAGAGGGAGGAAAAACGGGCAGGACCTGAGATGCTGAGAAGGAAAGGTGGCTTCGAGGGTAAAAACAATGGTTTCCACCAGCCACAGACCCCAGCCCTGAACCCGGGGCCCCACGTCCCCACTAACCATCATTCTGTTGGGACCCTGTCTCACACCCACAGAGCTGGCACTGCTCAGACACCATCTCTGTGCTAAGCCTGCAGTAGGGCCTGCTGGGCACAGCGCTGGACCCAGAACACAGTTTCTAGGAGAAACAAGCTGAGACCGACCAGGGTGCATAACCTCATCTGAGCAGCAGAGCCACCCCAGGTCCAAAGGCTGACCAAGGAAGTCTTAGAATCCTGCCTGCCCCCTGCTTTCAGTGGCTTTTAAATAAGCACAGGAGCCTTTAAAAAAGAGAATGTGTGAAGGAAGTTTCAAAATGCCAGTTTCTTGGTTAAACTCCCTTACCTGTCAGAAACTGCTATCTGAGGGGGAAATGGTCAAATCAGAATGGTCTCCTCAGCTCATCCTCCTGGTCTCCTCAGCTCATCAAATACAAACTCAAGCCCTTGTGGCATATCATTTGCTTTGCTGTGTAAAATTATTTCTGTAAAATGATGGAACTACAGAACCTTGGAGCTAAAAATGTTCTACAATGAGCTAGTCAAGTCACTTCATTTTACAGATGGAAACATGAAAAACAAGAGTAAGTGACTTGAAACAAAGAGCCCAGTCTACAAGGAAAGGGTCAGAAAGCGTGGTGGCCAAAAGTACCCACATGGGGTACACCTGCCCGGTGGTTCCTGCTCCATCCCAGCTCAAAGCCACATGACCAGAGAGTTCCAGTTTCCTCTGGAAGATATCTCCAACAGGCCTTTTATCAGAAAAAAACTTGAGATCGGGTATCTCATTTATAACTCTGCTCCAATCCACATAGATTCACACCACTTTCTAAGTGCCACAGCCTCATCACTGAGCTCTGGGAACTTGGCGGGGGGGGGGGGGGGGGGGGCGCGGGGCGGGTCCTGGGCTCAGAGCAGTAAGGGCTCCTCCGTTCCGACCCAGATCAGACTGGACTCTGGTCTTCTGCTTTGCCAGCCTAGAAGACCTCAGACATAACACTGAAGAAGCTCAAATGTGACAGACTTCTGGTATGCAAACATATTGAGCAACTGTAAAATATTTATCAAATGGCATTGCTAATTGTTTTCATTATTACACATTCACATGCAACAGTAAAGTAGTTTTATTGCACTCAGAATGATTCCTCTAAAATTAAGTTGTTGGAACAAATTCAAATTCAAGAAAATCTACACTAAGCGTGCCAAGCAGTGGACTAGAGGACGCTAGAGGTGCAGAGGTGAATGGCCCAGGGCTTGCTCCCCAAGTGCTCACGGCCTGCCAGGTACCAGGGAGCAGACAGGCACTCCTCGCAGAAGGGCACAGGCTGTGTGCCGATACATGTCACAGTGCGGGAGTCACTCCCTTTGGCATCTCTCCTCTCCACCTATTAATATTTCAGACAGTTTGGATCTAGCTGGATGAGTCACTGGGCATCAGTAGTAGTATGTTGAAAGGAAGGAAGCAATGAATAAAAAGCTAAACAGCTGGAGGTCACAAATGTCAGAGCACTGTGTCTAGGTCATGGAAACGGGCACCAGCTGTCCAGAAGATAGCCACATCTTTTCTTAGCTGCTGTTTGCTTAGTGACTATTCCCAACTCAATTTCAACGGCCGGTAGCTCTTAATGTCTCTGAAGCCAGGGGTTAACTGCAAACCACAATCTAATAATATGCTATCCTTCTGAAACTCTTTGACTCACTCCTCTCTTTCATCATGGCAGCCATCATGTCCAGCCAATCCTTTAAGGTGTATGACGTGTTTCTTTCGTCCAATCCAATCCTTCCTGCCTGCCCTCCTCCACCCCGCACAGTCCAGGCCAGGCCCTCTTCATTCTGCCTCTTCTCAGCACACATGTCCAAGGTCAGAAAACACCACTGAAACACATATCAAGCAGCTGAAGTTTCCTAGTGCAAAACATTCCGTAGGAAAACAAAAGTGAGTACCAAGCTGGAATGGCCGTGCTGGTTCGGGGGGAGAGGAGACATGACTTTATTCAGTTGGGATGGTGGAAAAAGCATACTGAGTACACAGGATGGACACCCTCCCTGGGAAGCACGTAGTTGTATATGGAAGCAATGTTAAGTAGGACCCGGGCAATTCACCTCGTAGCAGGCGAGACAGACCCCCTTCAGTCCCCACATGCACTAGGAGCTAAGGGAAGGAAAGGCCAATCCTGCTCCACCCGAGGGACGCAGAGAAGCCATCAGAGGAAAGGACGTTTGGGCTGGAATTACGGGGTCCGGAGAGCCTATGTTGGGCATGAAAGATCCAAGTACTTGTTCTATCATTTACTGGCTGCATGACCTTGGACAAGTCACTTTACCTCCCCATCCTCTGTGTCTTCATGTAAACAATTCAACTAAATGGTCTCTATTATAGATTCTAGCCTCCCCCAAATCTTGATATTTAAATGGGTCCTCTCTCCCTGAGAATGTTTCTTCCTAATATGCTACATGCAGAGCCCCTGACCTCAAAGCTAGTTGTAAAAGCCAGTGAGAAGGTAAGGATGGGACAAGACCTCCCCCCGGCCCCCACCACACACACCATCTATGCATTCAACGAACATGATTCAGACACTGTTCTAGGCACAGAGGATAGAGAAATGAGGAAAACTAGTAAAGCTCCCTGTCTCACTGAGCTTATGTTCAGACTTGGGGGAGACCATCTTGGGGGAAGACAGACAATAAGTATGGTAAGAAAGTGCATTAGATGGTGATGAGCACTATGGAGGAAAATTATGGAAGGAAAGGAGGCAGGAAGAAGGTGGGGCAGGAGGTTGCAGCTTTAGCTCGGAGTGGCCAGGGAAAACTTGGCTGAGTAGGAAACAACTGAGAAAGGTAGAGGAAGCCTGTCTGGCATCTCTGGGCGAGTATTCCAGGTAGCATCATGCTGCTGGAGTGAAGTGTGTGAGGGGAAGGAAGGGGTAAAAAATAAAGTCAGGGAGGGAAGCTGGGGGAGGGAGAGGGGAGGGAGAGTTCAGAGAGAGCCTGGAAGGACACCATTAGGACTTTTGGAAGCCATGAGAGGGTTTTAAGCAGAGTGACCTGACCTGAGTTGAGTTTTAACAGGCTCACTCTGAGTCAGAGTTGAGAATAACTCAAGGGACAAGTACAGAAGCTGGTCCCAGCTCCAAAGAGATAAGCAACCACCTCTGAAAAACTGGTGGGGTGAGGAAGGGGATCTCCTCCAAACACCCGCCACAGGAGATGCGTCAAGCCTGTCTTGGAGCAAACTTTTCATGGTGTGGCCCAGGAATCAAGCCCCTCATTCGACAGTAGCAAGAAGAAACCTCACAAACAAGGGGGCACCTATAAAGTTTCCTTTACATTTATAAAGGCCATTAATTCCATTCCAACTGGAAAGAAAGAAAACAAACCATAGCTGTGGCTTTCCAAAGCCCTCAGCCCCAGCCAAATGAAAATACCTGTGAAAAAGAGACCCTACCCTATTAACCCAGCTACACACCACCTGTGAAAGGACACTGTTATTTAAGTACTGTGTAATTATCTCATGTTGCTGATATCATTAAAACTTCTCAGAGTATGTCCATAAACCAGCTAAAGAAGAAAAAGTAGTTACCAGGGCAGGCAGGCACAAGGGGCCTTTTGCCAACTACTTAGATATTTTAATTCTCCATTGCCTCAGTAGCTAAATAAGCATGGAGAACAAGCAGGAGAGGAATACTAATTAGAGCTAATTAGACCCTGCCCTCTTCTGCTTCACTCCCCTTTATAAAAAGCTCCCTAATTCAAGGATGATGGAGCTAAAATATAAATACCTAGGGTAAACAGCAGTCCACACACTGGGCCCCCTGTGTGCATTTCATTGTCCTGTTATTTTCAAACCTATGGCTGATCACCTGAAGAGAGCTGCAAACCCGCAGCCGACTTCCAGCAGCCCCATCACAGACCAAGGAAAATGGGGGTGGGAGTCAGTGCTACCAACAGGAGTCCACTAGCTTGACTAAAAGGCTCTCTCAGGACTTACAGCCTTCTCATTTTCAGCACTAAAAGAACATTTTAAAAAATGATAAGCTATAGTAGCAAACATGACTCTAGTCCTACAGTGAGATCATAGCACATTTCCCACTCCTTAGAAGGCAAGGAAGGGCCTCAGCCCAGCGACATCTTTCCTTGGTTCTGTGGAAACACCAAAACCTATGTCCCATCCGAGGCTCTTGGCCACGGTACCATAGAGAGCAGAAGATACCCCTGGGATGGGGGGGGGGGGGCGGCGGTCAGCCTATCAGGAAGTTGTTTGAAACGAGCACCCTTAAATTAAAAGTCTGTTTCCAGCCCGAAACGGACTTTTTATTTAAGCAGAGATGAGAGCGTGGTGAAAGCAACAGACCGGCCACTTGGCTAATGGCCTAGGAACACCCGGGGAGGCAGGGCCCTGCAGGTCACCTCTTTCCTCACTAAGGAAGGGTTTCCTTTCTAATACGGTTCCTAGTAGCAAGACAGAAACAAACTCTGGAGAAAGTACCTGCAGGACTTCAAGAATAAAAGAAAAGGGAAGGGAGAGGAAAAAACTGTTTCAAACTATGTTTAACCTTGACTTGGCACCACTGGGAAACTAGGAGACCCCAAAGGTATGTGAGTCAGCCCCTGTGAACCTTGAAAAGCTGCTGGGCAGAAAAGGAAGATGACCCGGTCTGGAGGCCAGCAATGGGCTTGCCCTCCCCCCCTTCCGCAGACCCCGCAGGGGCTGGCTGAGCTCGAAGGCAACAGTAGGAGAAAAGGGAAACCTGAAGGAGATGGAAATATTCCGCCACAGCTCAATGCTTTCTTTCCTACCTAAGGTGTGTCATGTAAGACAAAGGGTCCTGTGCCTAAAAAGGCTTGAGGTTGGTGGACAAGGAGGATGGGTAAGTCACTTCACCTTCTGCCCACCCGAAAAATGAAGATCATTGTAAGAATGTATTTGAACTTCAAAAACACAACTCACCACACAAATGAAAAATAATATACTGAAAGAATTCTTTGCAACTGGAAGTATGAGTTTTTATTAGAATCGTTGAATGTCAAGCTGTAAGGAAACTTAGAAGTCATTTCATTTATCAGTTCCTAATTTTTGGATTTCACAGAATAAGAACAAAACAGAAAAAGGGAAACACATAGGATTGCCAGATTTTTTTTTTAATTTTATCAAAAAAGAAAAACTACCCTCTGTTAACACTTCAAATTATTAAAGGAAAATAAGTTTTTCACTAAAAAAAATAAAATTTCAAATTAAAAGACAATCCTTGCGAAGCAGGGGACTAGTTGGCAAAAAAACACTCCAATGTGTGACACAGGCTACATCCTTTTCTTTGCATTTCCCTGGGATCCCACAAAAACATCAGTGATGGGCACTGGCTGCCAGATGGATGTTTGGGAACCGCTGATCTACTCCAAGCTCTGGAGTGATCATTACCCCATAAAAGACCCCCAGCTACAGTACTGAGTTTGAATTAGGGCCTGAGGAAGTTTTTTGTTTGTCCAGATCCCTCCTGCGTTCGCAGACTTAAACCTCATGTAAGAGTGCCTTCACGTAAATAAGACAGCGTAGGAAGGACTGTCCCGCGCTCCCTCCAATGCCAAGTATTTAGCTCACAAGAGCAACCAAGAACGTCGGCTAGAAAGTGAATGGAGCACCCAACACAGTTATTTCCTATGGGAAAAGAGAAGTTTGGAGCTTCCTGCTTTTTGGGGAGGGGGGTGGGGGGTAGCTCCTCTGCCTCGAAGCCCAAGCACCCAACAGAGCATCCTTTCTCTGGGGCCCCCTAACTTCCTAAATGCCACGTCCGCCCCTCTTCCAACTCGGAAAACTTAAAGCAGGTTAACACATTACAGCCAGCCCACGGCAGAGTCACGACAGTAAATCAATCAATCAATCAATCTCTCTCTCTCTCTCTCTCCCCCTCTCCCCCCCCCCGCCACACACACCCGCCCTCCGCTCCAGAATCCTCCTGAGTTTGGGGGTTGCGCGGTACGGACTATTTGTAAATCGCGGAATAATGCCAGGCAGAGAAATCAGATCGCGAAGTCCCAGGTAGGGCTGTGAGGTGGGACGCCGGTCTCCCCTTGTTTACGGTTTCTTCGGGGGAGAAAGCAGACGGGTTACATCTTTAAAGAAAGGCGGTTGGCCTGGGCGCAGTGAAACTCTCGGATTCGCTATGGAGCCCTGAGCACCGACTGTTCCAGAAGACAAGTCCTCCGGCGTAGCCGTGTGCCCCCGCTTTACCTCCAGCGAAGATTTCAGGTCTCGCACCTCTAACTGCCCTTCGTCCGGGGACCAGGGCACCGGCGGCATCACTCGGCACCTCCCAGCAGCCCGCCGGCCCCCGTCGGCCACAAGGGCCGCTTTGTGCCAGGGGGTGTAGAGCGCCGGCTCCAACGCAAGGGTAGCTGCGGCCTCCCGCGCACGGGGCGCGGGCGCACGCGGGCTGGGTCAGCAGACTGGCGAGGCTGTTTACACAGGAAGAGAATGCCCCTCCGCAGCCCAGAAAGAACGGCGACCGACGACAGCCTGGCGGGATTGCGCGGGTTGACGCATGAATTTCGGAAGCCCCCACGGGGCCGAATCTCGGCCGCCTGCCTACCTGGGAGGGCTCGGAAGACGCTTTCCACCCTCGAGCACTGCCTCCCCCACAACTTCTCCAAGACGCCTGCGGGTGGAACTGTGTACGACAAAGTTTTGCAGAGCGGGCGGCGCGGCTTACCTGGAAGCCTGGGCACCAGGGCGCAGAGCCCAAGGAGGCAGGCGTACAGGGGCGCCCCGGCCCGCGGCATGGTGGGGACGCCCGGTTCAGCGGTGGTGCGGGCGGTGGACTCCGAGGGGGCGTGCGTTCCGGTCTGGTGCGCGGGGGCCGAGGGTCGGGGGCCACAGCCGCATGCCCAGCCCGCAGCCGGGATTCACAGTGCTCGGGGCCGGGCGGGAGTCGGTGGCGGCTGCACTGGCCCACGCCCCGCCGCCACCATCCCTCCCGCAGTGCTCGCGGCTGAGTACGGGGCCCGCCGCAGCCCTGGCTCGCCGGCCTGAATGCCCGGGGTGTCGCCGTTCGGGGCGGCTCCGGGCAGGGGAGGGGCTGGCTCTGAGCTGCGGCCGCAACTTCGGCTCCGGGACGCGCCCCGCGCGGAAGCTCCCCAGCGCGCCGGCACACTCTGCCCTTCGCCTCCTCCCCTTCCCTTCCTCCCTCCGGCCCTCCGAGCTCCACTTTCCTCCCCTTTTTTCCCCTCCCCTTCTCTCCCCTTCCAGGCCCCCGTCGGGCTGCCACACGGTCAGTTTACGGCGGGGCGGGGCGAGCTCCCAGCCCGGCAGGCTCCGCCCCCGCGCGGGAACCAGCTCGGGACGCGAGGCCGCGGACGTCCAGGTGGAAGTCCCTTACGGCGCACTTCGCGCGGGGGTTGTAAACCGCTGGAGAGTGTCTGGCTCACCTTTCTCTGCAGCCGGACGCTACCGGAAGGGGGCGGGGCACTCTCCAACCTGCGAGCCGAGATTACTTTGGGTGGCTAGACTTCGGGAGGGAGAGCTGGTACGGTGGGATCGTATGCTGGCTGTCTCGTTCCAAAGCAGCACCTCCAGACCGGCTCGCCCCGGAGGAGGGACAAAGGCTTCCGCGCGTGAAACCATGAGGCGACGAATTTGATGGAAAAGGGAGGGCACGTGGGACGTGGAGCCCACTTTTTCCTCAGTAATGTTTTGTCCCTTTGAGGGTTTGGACTGGCCCAGGTGCCGCTATTCTTTGCTTTCCTTTTCTCGATACACTGGAGGTTTCCGTGAAGCCAAACTGATAAACTCAAATACAGATAGATGCTCAGGGTTTCACCTGATCATGGACATTAAATCGATAACCTTAAAAACAGCTGCTCAGTCGAAATTACACGTTATCATTTATATCTAAGCTGGTTCTGAAATTGCTGGTGAGGAGTGGGGATGGGGAGCTACTGCCCCCGAGAGCACGTGTGAAGAACCAAGTGGGTTTGAGCTGGACTGATGAATGGTTTAACACTGGAAAGGTAGAAGAAAGCAGCACACTGCTAGCCAGGTACAGTCCTAACTACTTTATCATATTAACTCATGTAATCCTCCTCGCAACCCTGCTGTAGCCGGGATGTGAAAACTCAAGCTCAGAGTGGTTAACTTGCCAGAAGGAGTAACAGGGATGGCATGCCCTGTCCAAAAGTTTAAGATGCTTTAACTAAAAACAGAAGCGGTAAGGAGTGACCTGGCCTTTGCAGCTCAGGAAGCAGCAGGGCAGATGGCTCCTGGGGGCCAGGCAGGGGATAGTTCTAACTGCCCATATTAGGGATTTGGAGTTCAATCTTTATTTGTTCTCCGACTCCCCGACCATTACCACCACCAACTCTGCCAAGGCGGTGCCCTGAAGCTCAAGAAAGTAAACTTACAGTATACTGTTCCTAGAAGCAAAACTCCGGGTTTGACTGAAGGCCAGTGTTTCATTCCTAACCTGTATGCAGATATCATTTACTCTCTAACATCTCTTTGTTCTGATGTGAAAGTCACGCTTGTCTCCAAAGATTTTCTAGTACAATTGTTGCTGCAGAGGCTACCCCGGGTTCATCAAGGGTCTTTCTGCCTGGAGGAGGGTCGGGGGTGGCCCAGGCCTACTCTTAATCCAACCTTGAGAGGCAGTGATTATCCATAGTGGGAAGTAAAATAGTTTGAACTAGGAGGTGACATTTGCCAGGTGGTGATTTTAAAAGATTTGTCTGGCAGGATTATAAATCATGGATTAGATAGAAGAAAGTTAAGTTTCATGAACTGGGTAAATATTGCATTAAATATAATAACAACTTGCATTTATCAAGCATCCTCAAAGTGTAGGCCCTGTTGCTGTCTAATCTTCTGTGCATCACCTTCCCCACCCCAACACGTACTTCACTGTTCAGACCAGCACACACCCCTATTTACCTGGACTCCACCTGGAAAGAGCTGCAATCAAATCTGCCCTCCTCCTGCCCCACCTGGTAGTTCCCCACCTGCCCAGACCTGCCATAATCCACCGAATCCCAAGTGAACACATTCTCCCAAGCTCTGTTATCTTAGAACTGGTTTGGAGATAAAAGGTGTCTTTTCTAATTACTCTGAAGCTTTTGCTTTCTGGTGTGTAGCTTTTTTCCTGTCCAAGAACCTTTCATTCTGTCTGTTAAACTGGATGATGAAAGTACTCTTAAAATGCTTTGACTTTCTGAAGTTAGCAAAGTCAGGGTGCACTGATGGCCCCCTCAGAAGGGAGATAAGGCAGTGCTTCCCACAGTCACTGGAACAGTCTCCTTTGTGGCTGCCTCAGGATCATCCCGTTTCTGATCATTGCTGAGCTTCCGGGCCCGAAAGAGGCTGCAGGATAGATTGCGTTTGACTCTCAAGGTTTGAGCATATGCATAAACTAGAGAGACTTTGTTTCTTGTTGGTTTTAAAATAAGGTTAGTTCCTGGAAGAGTGAAACATAGAATTACCATCTGATCTGTACCCAAAAGAATTGAAAACAGGGACTCAAACAGATATTTGTACACCTATATTCACAGCAGCATTATTCACAATGACCAAAAGATGGAAGCAACTTCAATGTCCATCAACAGATGAATGGCTATACAAATCGTAGTATCTATATTCAGTGGACTACTGTTCGGCTTTAAAAAGGAACTGAATTCTGACACATGCTATAAGAGGGATGAACCTTGAAGACATTATGCTAAGTGAAATAAGCAAGACACACAAAAGGACAAATATATTATTCGACATATGAACATACCTAGAAGAGAAATTCACTGAGTCAAAGTATAACAGAGGTTACCAGAGGCTATAGAGAGAGGGAGAATGGGGAGTTATTAATTAATTGGTATAGAATTTCAGTTTGGGATGTGGACAAAGAGGGACCACACACGAAACCTGACAGGTTCAGAGGAGGCCTGCATGGTGGCCTTACAGACTCAGAGACAGAAGTAACCACGTAGGATGGTCTGGTAGTCAGGTCTTAGGACGGTATTTTTCCCTAACAAAGGTCAAATCTTTACCTTAACTGAGCCTGTTACCTTCATGCATCTAGGGTAAATGTGCCTTTGCAATAACGAAGTAATTTCCCTTTTTCCAGATGCCTCAAAGCACAGGCGCATCAGAGTGGAGACCACAAATCCCATCATTGTTACTGTTACCCTGTTAATTGCTGACTGTTACATCGTTTTACTTTTTATCCAATCCCAGAGGTCCTCCCCCTGCACTGCTCTCTGACGACTCCATCTGTTGTCTATCATCAATGAAGTTCATTTAACCCACTTACACCACCTCTTTTTCCCTTTTTCCCTTTTTGATCATAATGTATAAAGTAAGGTGCAAAACTGCCATTTTCCAGAGCATTTTTCTCAATCCCAGCATTTCTAGAGATTTTTTTAGATTTTGCTTCCTGGCAATTGTGGTCTGTTTTGCTCATAGAAATTCTTACAGGTTTGGATATTTATGTTTGAAACGGTGCAGAGCATGTTACCCCACAGCTCATGGTTGGGGGAAGGGGAGAAGTGGATGATATGCTTAAGATATTTTTCACAACAATGGCAAGTGATAGTCACGTCCTTCCTGAAGGGAAGCTGTGCGGCCACCCAGGTAAAGGCCTACGTGACCTTCAGTACCTTCAGTACATACAGTGCTGAGGGTGAAGTGACATAGGGAGCCCCCGGTCAGCATTTAAAATTAGGGCGGCCAGTCATGAATGCTGCCATGCAGTTTGAAAGGATGTAGTAAGCAGGGGCCATGGGGAAGGAGAGCAATGAGGTAGAAGCTGTGTGAAGGGAGGATAAGCAATCAGCTATGTAGTTTGTAGTCAGGATCCCGCCATGCAGCCTGATGTAGGAAGGAAGGAAACACTGCTGTTCGGATTGTGCCTGCTCCATCTGACTCAGAAGCCATCAAGGACCTGCCTTGCAAGACACTGACCAGCTTCCTTCGTAGACCCAGACTCCATCTGGACTCTTGGGACTTGGGACATACGGTGAGGCCACACTCCTGGGACTTGTGCCTTTCCTGAACTTCACCATGATCCACTGTAACAGAGCATGTTCTTTCCTGGACTATGACACAGATGACAACGTAGCCCAGATCCTGAAGGAGGGGGCTGCTGAGACTGTTGACGCAGCCAGCTTAAGCACAGATGAGATGGGGCACTGTTGACCTTGGCTTTGGCTTATAGCCTTTTGGGGAGCAAGGGAAGTCCTGGGTCTTATGGGAGATCAAGGTTCTCAGCTGAAGTGCTCCCAGCCCCCTCAAGGTTGGAATATTGTAAACACAGACCTACTTCTTCCAATACTAATTGTTGGGTCATACACCAAGGCGCCACATGAACAGGCCCCTGTTTTCTGTTACATGTTAACAGGGATAATAAAAATTTCTGGAAAGGATCATGGTGATAGTTGCACAACATTGTGAGTGCATTTAATACTGCTGAACTATATGCTTAAAAATGGTTAAAATGGTAAGCTTTATGTTATGTATTGAGTTGGCCAAAAAGTTACATTTGTTTTTTTTCTGTAAGATGGCTCTAGTGACACATAGTCGTCTTTAACTTCATTCCAATTTTGTTAGATTGTATTGTGACAGCTGTCATATCAGCATGCATTTTTAAAAAGGCATCAAAATTGGTGAATTTTTTTGTAGCCATTTCAGTATTGAAGATGGAAGAAAATATGCAGCATTTTTGGCATATTATGCTTTATTGTTTCCAAAAAGGTAAAAATGCAACTGAAATGCCAAAGTAGATTTGTGCAATGTATGGAGAAATTGCTGTGAGTGATCAAATATGCCAAAAGTGTTTTGCAAAGTTTTGTGCTGGAGATTTCTCACTGGACGTGTGGTCATGCTGGACATGGCTCCTCCAACTGCCATAATGGAAGGCTAGCTGGAGGGCCCCGGCCAGAAGGAATGTGTATTGCTTTGGAAATGGATTGTAATTCCTTTCTTATCTCCTTTTGGGTGCAGCTTCTTGTCTTGTGTGACTGATTCTTGACCTTTTCTCCTTGCACGCACACACTGAGGTAATGTAGCTTAGAGTCACATGCAAAACATGCACCCCCTTTGTCTAGGACCCCTTAAGACAAGCCTCAGACTCAGGGAGGTGCGGACCTGCTTCACCAATTTGCCACCATCGGTGCTGCCTGTAATGAGTAATAAAGGCTATGTCTGCTCCAT